AATTTTCAAGGCTGACAAGCGAAAATTTCAACCACTTCATTAAATTAATTTGTTTACATTACTTTCATCTGTTATTTTTTTTTTATCTGACCTTTTGTATTGTTCGCAGTCACAAGCTGTTGCCCCAGAATTTAACAGACACTCCCCCTCGTCATTTGACTCATGAAATTGCCTGAAATGCTCGAAAAAATACTTATAATTTCTTTTTCAACTGAGAAAAGGTAAAGCGACGTTTAATCACCTCGGGGATGTCAGTCGAGGTGCATCCGGTTAATTTTGAAGTCAGCCAGCCTGAAAATTAGCCCTCTTACCGTACCGAGCGTCAATCATGACAGAACCCCCGTAAAATGGGAATTTTACTAATTACCAACTGGTTAACAGCTGCTATGCCGCTTTTTTTTAAATAGTTTATTACGATTTTATTGTTGGTAGAATGGTAGAATCGGGGAATTAGTCTGGAATAAATCGGACGGGTTGATTAGTATGTCAACATTTGAATGGGACATTTTGGGCGTATTTGAGTTTGCATAACTACTCGACGTTTTTACGGCTCGTTTGCTACGCCAACTACGACGGCTTCTGCATGACCCAAATCCGTGAGAAAAAAAAACCAGTGACAATGATGATGAATAAATTCAAGACCCGGTGTACAATGTGGGGTACTATTTCGGGGTGCTTCGTGACCAATTTCCCATTACCCTCACTTTTCTGCCATTCTGGAGTTCATTTTTTACCAATCTAGACTATAAAAATCAATAAAAATGAGAAAGCTGATTATTTCCGAATTTTCTGATGAATCAATATTGCTGCGTAAACTGTGAAGGATGAATCAATAATTTTCCCACCACACGGAGGGAAAAATTCAGTAAGAATTACCTTTTAGGTAATTAAAATAAAAACCGCTGGATAATTTTTCTGGAGTCATGGGCAAATTTTTATTATTCAATTAGTAACGATTATTTAGCTGTTTGGAGAAAATTATCCAGATGTTAGGAATATTTTTTGGAAAAGTTTAACTTTTACTGAACGGCA